CGTGTCTGTCATGTGTCTCATCGGCGCCAATGAAGGGGCGATCGATTCAAACGACGAGAACTCGAGGTCCGCCCGAAGCCGCACATCTCAACAGCAAAACGGTATCTCAAAGTTTGCCACAACTTTCGCTCCCATTTGACTCAACTAATCAATGATTATTTGGTGACAGTGTTTGACGGGTCCAGCGGTTCCGTTCAGTACCAGTTCAAGACAGAAAACGGACAGACGGGTCAGTCTCCACATATGATGTGCAGATTAGCCACATATTAACCATTTGTTTGATTATTTTGAAGGTGCCGTCACTTACCGTGTGGTGACCGTCGATGACTCGCATCCAACGCATACAGGTTCTTAGATTTACATTTGTGTTTAGATTATATGTTAAATTATTGTGTAATCAGTGGTGACCCCAACTATCGTGAATCCGGCCCAACACAGCTCTGTTGCTCTCCTCACCGGTCCGTTAGCTCTTTGCCTATCATTTTGATGATTGTTTTAATTATGATTTTTGTTTAACGGACAGCACATGCGGGCAATCCTTTTGGCGCAGCGACTCAACAGATCGCCACCAGTGCTGGCAGTGACGGACCCTTCTATGTAATGATGGCTCCGACACAGGACTTGATATCCCATTCATCGTCTAATATCCGAAGAGCCAGTAATTATCTCGCGATTGATATGTTTGTCATTGACTTTATTTGATGCTTAATTTGGATACAGAGAGCGGCGCGGAAGGCGGTGTAGGAGTAGGCGTTCCCCGTGTGGCCAGAGATGAGAAGAGAAGAGCCACTCATAACGAAGTGGAGAGAAGGCGAAGGGATAAGATTAATAATTGGATTATAAAACTGTCGAAAGTAGTTCCGGATTGTTCGCAGGACCACACCAAACAGGTATCACTTGTAATGTTGTCATCACTCTATTACTGTACACATCGTCTCATCTATTTGTTTGACCACTTTTAGGGACAATCAAAGGGCGGAATTCTGGCCAAAGCCACCGAATATATACAGGAGTTGTGCGCAGAAAACGCCCGTTTGAATGAAGTGCTTAAAGAAAATGAGATTTTAAAGTAATTATTGATAATAT